GCCAAATCAAAATGGCATTAGCTCAAAATGGATTCATACACTAAAGTATTTGTCTAATGGTGAACTTGATAGGTACAAATCCAGGTGGGTTACTCGAGGATATAATCAAGAGTACGGTGTTGACTATGCAGAGACGTTCAGTCCCGTTGTCAAATCCGTCACTATCAGACTTTCACATTGCAGTAACCAAGGGTGGCCAATCAAACAGCTGGATGTTAATAATGCTTTCTTACAAGGAACTTTATCTTAGGAGGTTTATGTCTCTCAATCGCCAGGATTCGTTGACCGTGATCGTCCTCACCATGTTTGCCGATTGCACAAAGCTCTCTACGGGCTTAAACAGGCTCTGAGGGCCTGGTATCAAGAACTCAAGACATTTTGTTATAAATGGGATGCTACAACTCGTGTGCTGACACGTCCGCCTTCATCTACATTCAAGGTGCTCATGTACTTTATATCCTTGTCTATGTTGACGACATCATAATCACTGGGAGCAGTCTCTCCATGGTCTCCGCGTGCATTCATGTGCTCTCCTCGCGCTTCTCCCTGAAAGATCCTACTGATCTTCATTACTTCGTGGGTATCCACGTCACAAGAACCCACAATGGTCTCCACCTTATGCAAAAGAAGTATATTATCGATCTCTTGACGAAGATGCATATGCTAGATGCAAAGCTAGTAACAACACCACAAGCGACCACCCCGAAGCTCTCCTTATCGTCGGGAACGCCAATGGATAATCCCACAGATTACCAAATGGTGATCGGGACTCTCGAATACCTGTCCTACACAAGACCAGACATAGCCTACAGTGTCAATCGCCTATCGCAGTTCATGCATAAGCCTACGAATGTACACTGGCAGGCCGCGAAGCGCATCCTTCGATATCTTGCCGGCACTCTAACGCATGGTATTTTTCTCAGTCGACACTCCCCTATACATCTTCATGCTTTCTCGGATGCAGATTGGGCAGGAGATACAAATGATTTTGTCTCAACCAACGCCTATATTGTCTATCTTGGCTCCAATCTGATAGCTCGGTCTTCCAAAAAGCAGTCAGGAGTTGCTAGATCATCAACGGAGGCCGAGTACAGGTCTGTCGCAAATACCGCTTCTGAACTTTTCTGGGTAACTTCCCTCCTTTAAGAACTTGGTGTCCAACTCTCGTCAACTCCCACAATCTACTGTGACAACGTCGGAGCTACTTATCTCAGTGCCAATCCTGTTTTCTATTCTAAGATGAAACACTTAGCTCTCGACTTCCATTTCGTCCGCGACAATGTGCAATCTGGTGCATTACGTGTTACACACGTCTCTACACGCGACAACTAGCCGACGCTCTGACTAAACCACTTCCAAGGGCACGATTTAGTGAACTTATGTCCAAGATTGGAGTGATCAAACTCCCTTCCATCTTGCGGGGGTGTGTAGAGTAATTGTATATAAGGGTACTTATGATTTTATGTAATCCCTAGAATACCTATTGTACTCAGTATATATACTGTATTATACCATCTAATAAACTCAATTCAGCCATTACATTCTATAGTTAATTGCAAAACTAACATATTCATTGACCAGAAGACTTCCGTGTGAGTCTTCTAGAATGATAAGACTTACGAAGACTTACAAAAGTAAGTCTTCTAAGTCTTCTAACGAACAAATCTGGAAGAAAAAAACAATTCATACATTCAAGCCCTGGGTGAACTTGCTTAGTTCTCCAAGGACACACAATTCACTAAAACATCTACTCAATCGTTAATGACCAGAAATCGTGAGTTTGGCTAGCTACATGACCCTCAAAAACTTTAGAATCAAAAAGCTTGGATTTTTTTGGATGAATATAGCTAGAAAGTGAGAGAGATGTAGTTTTGGGCATAAGTGTTGAGAATGAATGAGTAAATTTCGTCTTTAGATGTATTAAGAGCTTCATTTTGGTTGTTCATGGTTGTTGGGTGAATTGATGGTAGTGGCATTTTCGTGATTAAATAATGAAGATGAGGATAAGACAGTAAAACACTCATTTTCAAAAAAAAAATAAATAAAAATAATGGTATTTTTGTAAATAATCAGAATTTTTAGAGTGGATTGGGCAAATGAAATGTCCAAAAAAAAATAATGGTATTTTTGTAAATAATCAGAGTTTTGAGTGATTTTTGCAACAAACCCATTAAGATTTTAAAAATAAAGTGAGTTAAATTGAGTTATAATTCGATTAAAATTTGAAAGCTCGCAAGAATAATTCCATCTTTACACATCAATAATACAACCACCATCAAGCTTTCGATCAGTGACTATTACGCTTCCATCTACGTACTGTGTGTTTCCATCACGCTTCCAAACATCACAATTCTTAAAACGTAATTCCGTGACGATTTCATACAATTCTAAACGTTTCTGGTTCCAATTCCGCTCCGGAAATAAGAAATACACATCTATCGGTAATTCCGTATAACGTATGATTAAACATACATAACATCTTCTTATCCTAAAAATAATAAAATTAATAATCTCATGACAACGCGCAAAGCACGGATTATTACCTAATATATTTATATAGAGTTTGATAGTCTTGATTCTATTAGGTAATCTATCTAGATAACTATTAAACATATTATAAATCCTAATTTCCCTTATTCGATAGGGTTAAATCAATTACTTGTGCTCAAGCTTCTTTCCTTTTCAAGTTTAATGCAAAAACCTTCGTCTCTAAAGTCGTATAACTGCAGAATCTGTGTCTTTTCACGACATTTTACATGCATGTCGTGAATATATTAACTTGAATACATTAAGTTGTTTTAATCTTCCTGCGGTTCCTCTTCATCTTATTAAATGTGTTCTTCATAAGCCTTTAGACGTCCCATAAGAGCATCTCCAAAAAAACATTCTATAACATCAAATATAGAGTTTTTGGTTCTCCAAAAAGAAACTTTAAAACTTCAAATTTGAAGTTTTGAGGAGTAAAACTTCATATTTGAAGTTTCAATTCTCAAAATTTTAAATTTGAAGTTTTATCCTTTTATTTGCATTTTAGTCATTACAATTAATTATATATTATACTTATGAATTTTCAATATATTCTCGTTTAACATTTTAATCAGTCAAAGTTTTATATTTTATACATATTTCAGATTTGGTTTTATAAACTTAAGTTTTATTCATAAAACTTTAAAATAAAATTTATATTATTTTAAAACTAAAATTAGAGTTCACGAATATTACAAAAGAAACTTAAAAAAAAAACTTATTTAAAAAGGTACATGAAAATCATAGTTATTACATAAATTTAAATATTACAACAATATTAATATTATCCAAATAAGTATTGTGTAACTGAAAATGGAACATTATGGAAATAATTTTATGAAATAATGTGATATTTTGTTTGTAGTTTATTATTTAGTTATGTATTTCTATTTACAGTTTTATATTTTAGAGAAAATATTGTTTAATTAATAATATTGTTATGTTTTTTCATATATGTGCTAGTTATTTAAAAAAAAATGAATTTATATTAATTATGACAAATATAAGGATCATAGAGTAAAATATAAATAATTTTAAAGTTAGTTTTAAAGTTTTGCTTTTGGAGAATAACACATTGAAACTTCAAAAATAGAGTTTTATAAACTTTAAAATAGAGTTTCTTTTTGGAGATGCTCTGATATCCTCAAAACTTATATTGTTTAAATCCAAAACTTGCTCGAGAGGCAACAAATATGAATATACTTTTTTCTTGGAAGGCTCTTCAGGAATTTCTTTACTAACTTCGGTTCTTCTATGCTTATGCCTAAGGCTGTTGACTTTGATGATAACTCGGCAAGTTTTCCTCCATATCTTTCAGTATCTTTCATCTTACTAACTTGTATTGTTTCAGTATCTTTCATCTTAAGATAAACGATCAAACACATTCTCAGCGTCTGCAGCCTTGCTTCTTTCACTCTTTCAGCTCCAACGTGCCTTGCTTTGCTTGCTTCCCATTTCTTCTTTTCAGTGTCGAGCTTCCGACTTGTAGAATGAGTAGCTCGAGTACAGATTAAAACAACAAGGCAATGGCCATATCATTCGTTTTTCCTAAGATCGATTCTTCTTCTATAAAATCTCATACTTTATGAACCTTAAGGGCAATCTTCATCCTCATAGCTTATACCGTATAATTGGTTGAGTTAAGCATAAGACACTATGGACGATGATCATCCTCCTCCTTCTCGCGGTTTCCAAGTTGCAGTAACTATCTCACCACTCATCTCTTCCTAAGCTCTGATATCAAATATAGAAACTCAAAGATTGTATATGAACCACTTAACAAAAAGAATTATCTCTAAGTTAGCTTAAGAAACTAACTCAAAACTTAACCACTCTAAACACAATCTCTAAGATTCTCAAGTTATGTATATATTTATATAGAGATTGATAGTCTTGATTCTATTAGGTAATCTATCTAGATAACTATTAAACATATTATAAATCATAATTTCCCTAATTCTATATAATTAAATCAATAACTTGTTGCTCAAGCTTCTTTCCTTTTCAAGCTTAATTCAAAACCTTCGTCTCTAAAGTCGTATAGCTGCAGAATCTGTGTCTTTTCACGACATTTTACATGCATGTCGTCTCAAACCAATAAATGATTTAAATTTTATACAAGGGTTTTTTCGCTTTAAATTTGTATTTCTGACCTTATACATTGTTAAAACGGGAGTAGACCAAAGAATGTTCGTAATATTGAGTTTATTAGATTTTTTTATCAAAGTAGACCAAAGAACTTTCTTATCATTGACCTAATTTTCTTAATATTGAGTTTAGTATTATTTATCGAGTAACAAACTATCACGGTTATATATAGAACAATTCTAAGTCAACTATCCGGAATATGCTTAGGGGTAATATTTATTTTTTTTCAAGATATCATTCCGTTATGAGTTGAACTTGTTAGTTTAAAAAAAAACTCAAAAACCAAACAAGGTTTCATCTCTTGCAGTTGTTGTGGTTCTTTACCAATGGCTCAAAGATTACAACATCTTCTTCTCTCTATAATCTTCTTAGTTAATCTGATTCGCTTTTCAAGTCAACAAGGCTTAAGTTTCGTCTACAATGGTTTTGACCAAGACCAAGACAATATTCACCTTGACGGCGTTGCAAGAATCCATATCCCAGGTGGACTTTTACAGCTAACCGATGACACGAAGCTGCAAACGGGTCATGCTTTCTTTAACCGTCCATTCGATTTCGATTCAGCTTCATCTGATGATCAACCTCTCTCTTTCTCGACTCATTTCGTTTGCGCTCTGGTCCGTAAACCAGGAGATGATGGTGGGCATGGGATTGCCTTTGTTCTATCTTCTTCTATGGATCTCACAGAAGCAAATCCAACTCAATACTTAGGACTATTAAACACGTCAAGTAATGGATATCAAATTTTAGCTGTGGAGCTTGATACCGTCAAAACGGCAGAGTTTGACGACATCGACAATAACCATGTCGGTATAGACGAAAACAGTCTCAATTCCGTTGTCTCGGCTTCAGCTTCTTATTACTCCGACAGAGAAGGGAGGAACAAAAGCTTGACACTCTTGAGTGGTGATCCTATGCATGTATGGATTGATTATGAAGGCACTCTACTCAATGTAACATTAGCTCCTTTAACAGATGAGAAGCCAAGTAAGCCTCTTTTATCAAGAAACATCAATCTCACAGCAATCTTCCCGGATCGAAAAGCATTTGTCGGATTTTCAGCAGCAACTGGGACGTTGGTGAGTTATCAGTACATCTTAGGGTGGAGTTTCAGCACAAGTAGCGCTTCACTACAGAGCCTTGACATCTCTAAACTTCCAACGGTCCCTCACCCCAAGATAAATAAAGAAACATCTCCTCTGCAGGCTCTGCTTATTATTCTAGTGGTTATACTCGCGCTTGTGGTAATGTCTGTTCTCGGAGGTGTGCTTGTGTACAGGAGGAAGAAATATGCTGAAGTGAAAGAGCCATGGGAAAAGCCATATGGTCCAATGCGCTATTCCTACAAAACCTTGTATAAAGCAACAAGAGGGTTTAACAAAGACGGTTGTCTCGGGAAAGGCGGTTTTGGAGAAGTCTATAAAGGGACTATGCCTCTTGGAGGGGATATAGCTGTGAAGAGACTATCACACGGTTCGGAGCAAGGGATGAAGCAGTTTGTTGCTGAAGTTGTGACAATGGGAAATTTACAGCACAAGAACTTGGTTCCTCTTCTTGGGTATTGCAGGCGAAAAGGCGAGTTATTGCTGGTCTCTACGTACATGGAAGGAGGTAGCGTTGATCAATACTTGTTTCGCGATGATAGACCACCTCTTTCTTGGTCTCAAAGACTCGCGGTTTTGAAAGATATTGCGTCTGCGCTCTGTTACTTGCATACAGGAGCTAGTCAAGTTGTTTTACACCGAGATATCAAGGCTTCTAATGTCATGTTAAACGGAGATTTACAAGGGTTTTTAGGAGATTTTGGGATGGCTAGGTTTGATGACAACCTCGCTGCAACAGCAGCTGTTGGAACTATAGGTTACATGGCCCTCGAGCTAGCATCAACAGGAACTTCCACTAGGACCGATGTGTACGCATTTGGTGCTTTCATGCTTGAAGTAGCATGTGGGAGGAGACCATATGATCCCGAGATGCCGGTTGAGAAGCGACATTTGGTCAAGTGGGTTTGTGAGCATTGGAGAAAGGGTTCTTTAGTTGATGCTATGGATACAAGACTGAGAGGTAAATTCTCGCTTGGGGAAGTCGAAACGGTTTTGAAACTCGGGTTGCTATGTACATGCCTTGTACCGGATTCAAGACCAACAATGGAACAAGTGGTGCAATTCATAAATAGATATCAAACACTGCCTGATTTCTCTCCGGATACTCCTGGAATTGGAGTTTCTATGCCGGTGTTGACGGGAATACCTTCTTTGGCCATCACTTCCACTTCAGAGATCTCATCCCCATCAGTTTCTTCTTCATCTGCCAATAATTCCATGTTCATTTCTCACACAATCATATATGGTGATGGAAGATGAAATCTGACATTATTTCTTCATGTTTTCGTTGGTAGATGTACCTACCACATACATTTCTCATTTCCAGTTACATAGTTTTTGTCGATACGGTCGTGTCTTTGATTGAATAAGGGATCATGTTGTAATAACTACTCTCAGTGTTCCTATTAATTTAAATTGCAGAAAATTGGCTAAGATAACAAGTTCTCAACAGACGTCAGTATACTACAGAACTTTAAAAAGAAAACAAAAGATAAATTTAACCTGGTTCACCAACTTGGCTATGTGATGCAGCGCACAGTCGTTACATCTCTTATTTCCTTTTTACTTATTATAAGTGTTTTAGTTTTACTTAAGGGTTTAGGATATTATTCCTTTTAGGGCTTTGTTTTCATGTCTTATATAAAGACATCTGCATTACTTGTTTACTTACAGCTTGATAATAAAGATTTCAGTTTTATAAAGAGTTTTTTAAAACGAACACTGCGAAGAGTATTCGCGCCCCTAAAGAGTTCTAATGAACACTGCGAAGAGTATTCGCGCCTCATTCTATCATTACTTCCTCTACACGTTAGGTTACAGCTTCCGCTCTCCATCAGTTGGTATCAGAATCAGAACGTTTTGGGAAAGAACTTTGCGTTTCAATGGCTAAAAAGACCGGAACCTCTGGCGGTGATACCAGGGATCACAACCCCGACGACACCGCACCAGATCAATCTGAGTTACAAACCCTAATTGCGATGCAAACTGCTACTCAAACTTCTATCCAACAACTCGGCGATACCGTCGGAACATTAGCAACTCGTATTGAAGCTTTAACATTGGCGCTTTCAGCTCGTGTGGAGCCTCAACACCAACCTATTGCTCGTGCTCCGCCCCCACCGATTCGTCCTCAAGTCGATGACCTAATTCCACCAGCTCGACAACAATTCCAGTTTCAACATCAACAACAATTCCCTCCACGACCACACCATCATCATCAGCGCAGATATATTCCAAGAGACGGCGATCAAGCACAACCAACTCATTCCGATGACGAGGACGAGCTTCATCGACAAGTCTATTTTCAAGATCTCCAACGACACGATAACTATAATACCCGATGGGAGAATAGTTTCAAAGTTGATATCCCGGAGTTCCATGGTGGTCTTCGAAGAGACGATCTCATTGATTGGTTAATTTCAGTGGAAGAAATTCTTGAATTCAAACAAGTTCCGCCAAATCGTCGAGTACCATTAGTCGCTATGCGATTTAGGGGTCACGCCGCCACTTGGTGGAAACAACTGAAGACAACACGTTCTCGCACTGGCAAGGCACCAATTCAATCTTGGGATAAATTAACGAAACATCTTCGGCAAACCTTCTTACCCCATAATTATGAACGCACAATGTATAACAGGCTGCAAAATCTCCGTCAAGGTAATCGCACCGTGGACGAGTACGCGGAAGAGTTCGCTCTACTCTTAACACGAAACGAGATCAATGACAGTCAAATACAGCTAGTTTCACGTTTCATTGGTGGTTTACGCCCTCATCTACAAACATCAATGGCACAATTCGACCCATCCACCATCGGGGAAGCTCATCGACGCGCAGCTTCGTTCGAGCAGCAATCAAAATCAACAAACTGGAACTCTTCTTCCTCTCGTTCACGAACACAGGATCAAGCAGGAGGAAGCACTCCAACCACGTCCTCCAAAGACACTACCGACGCTGCCGCATCTACTACTAAACCCGCAACTCCAGAAGAGCAACAACTTCGACGTTCTACACGAACTAATGCTTTACGTTGTTTCGCTTGCGGAGAACACGGACATCGACAAACGGCTTGCCCTCATGCTCCTCGTCGAGGCCTTGTCCTTGATGATACGGTTAATGACCAAGAGGTCTATGATTCACACGATGAGGATGACCCCGACACAGAGGCCGTACACCTCACCGCAGGCGACATGGGTCATTCCCTGATCTTACGACGCTCTTGTCTTACACCAGTCCGGAAAGATGATCGTTGGCTTCGCACTAACATCTTCCGTTCTAGCTGTACTATCTTGGGCCGCGTCTGCAGTTTTGTGATTGACTCCGGCAGTTGCCGCAACGTTGTCTCTGAAGAAGCCGTGGACAAACTAGGCATTACTCGCGAAACACATCCAGCACCATACTCTTTGGGATGGATAAATGATAAGACAACAATTCGCATCACACAACGTGCAATTGTTCCTTTCTCCGTAGGTTCTCACTATCACGATAAGCTTTATTGTGATGTCGCGCCTATAGACTTTTGCCATCTTCTCCTTGGTCGCCCATGGGAATATGATCGCAAAATTATCCATGATGGTGAGAAGAACACTTACAGCTTTCTTTGGAACAAACAAAAGATTGTTCTTCTTCCATCACAAGAAACCATGGCGCCTCTCACACCTCGTCCTTCGTCTTCAACCACGTCATCTACTCCACCCGCGACGCAACGACCACCGCATACGACACCTGCAACCACAACGACTTCATCGACACCGGCAGTTTTACTTTGTTCCTACTCCACATTTGTCTCAGAATTCCGCACCGAAGGCGTGGCGTTAGCTTTGGTACCAGTCACGGAACAGAGTCCGACAGTCACAACACCACCTCCGTCCTTGCTTCAAATCCTCACGGAATTCGCGGATGTCTTTCCGGACGAGTTACCAACTGGCCTTCCTCCCCTTCGTGATATTCAACACCAAATAGATCTGGTGCCAGGCGCAACACTACCAAACAGACCACACTATCGTATGAGTCCCCTTGAACATGAAGAATTGCGTCGACAAGTTGAAGATCTTCTGCGTAAAGGTCATATCAAAGAAAGTCTCAGTCCATGCGCCATACCAGCTCTCTTAATACCAAAAAAAGATGGATCTTGGCATATGTGCGTCGATAGTCGCGCAATCAACAAGATTACCGTGAGATACAGGTTCCCGATACCGCGCTTGGATGACCTATTGGACCAAATTGGTGCCGCGAAATTTTTTTCGAAGATCGATCTCAAAAGCGGGTATCACCAAATTCGTATCCGCCCAGGCGATGAATGGAAGACGGCATTTAAACCAGAGAAGGCTTATTTGAATGGATGGTTATGCCTTTCGGGTTGTCAAATGCGTCAAGTACATTTATGCGGATCATGAATCAAGCACTCAGACCATTCATTGGACGTTTTGTGGTCGTATTTTGATGATATACTTATCTTCAGCTCCTCGTTACCTGATCACGAGAACCACCTTCGCCGGGTCCTTACAGTCCTTCGCTCGGAGCAGTTATACGCCGCCAAACAGAAGTGCGAGTTTGCCGTTACTTCGGTCCTTTTTCTTGGTTATGTGGTCTCTGATAAGGGATTAGCCGTCGATCACTCGAAGATCGCAGCAATTAAATCATGGCCAACACCAACTACCATCTCTGAGGTCCGCAGTTTTCACGGGCTCGCCTCATTTTATCGACGTTTCATCAACCATTTTAGCACGTTAATGGCCCCAATCACCAGTTGTATGCGTGAGGGACGATTTGCGTGGACTACAGAGGCAGCAGAGGCTTTTCTTTTAATCAAAGAAAAGTTAACTTCAGCACCAATTTTGGTCTTGCCAGACTTTTCCATCGCTTTCGAGTTACATTGTGATGCCTCTAAACTCGGGATTGGGCGCCCGGTCGCATTTTATAGTGAAAAACTCCCTGGCGCAAGGGGTCGTTATAGTACTTATGACGTGGAATTCTACGCTATTGTCCAAGCAATCAAACATTGGAGGCATTACCTTGTTCATCGGGAATTCATCTTGTTTACCGATCACGATGCACTGCGACATTTGGATAGTCAAGCTAAAGTTTCAGCACACCACGCAGGTTGGATATCTTATCTACAACAATTTACCTTTTCCATTCGTCACCAATCTGGGAAAACTAACCGCGTCGCGGATGCACTAAGCCGCCGACATGGCCTATTGACGACGATGTATACGTCCGTCAAGGGTTTTGCGTCGTTTGCTGATCTTTATCCATCGGATCCATTCTTCGCCCGTATCTTTTCCGAGGCAACAAATGCGGGACGTGACGATTATACTATCCAAGACTGTTTTCTTTTTAAAGGATTACGCTTGTGCGTGCCCGATTGCAGCCTGCGCCACGCGATTATTCGTGAGCTTCACACTGAAGGACACGTCGGAAGAGATCGTACTCTCCATTTAGTCACTTCATCCTACTTCTGGCCTTCTCTGCGACGAGACGTAGAGCGTTTTGTTGAAAGGTGCCGTATTTGTCAAGAGTCCAAAGGTAAAGCATCAAATGCGGGTCTTTACCTTCCTCTTCCTATTCCAACTCAACCGTGGACAGATTTAAGCATGGATTTTTTCCTCGGCCTGCCTCGTACGCAACGCGATTTTGATTTGATCTTTGTCGTGGTTGACAAGTTCTCCAAGATGGCTCATTTTATTGCTTGTAAAACGACATCTGATGCAGTTAATGTCGCAGTTCTGTTCTTTCGAGAGGTCTATAGGTTACACGGATTACCAGCTTCGATTGTCTCGGATAGGGATACCCGTTTCTTAAGCCATTTCTGGTGTTTGTTGTGGAAACTATTGGGTACTTCTCTCAAGATGAGCACCGCCTATCATCCTCAGACAGATGGGCAGACAGAAGTTGTTAACCGTTCGTTAGGGAACCTTCTCCGTTGCCTAGTAGGTGATAACATAAAATCGTGGGATACAAAGCTTGGAGAGGCCGAGTTTGCTCACAATCATGCGCTCAACCGAAGTCTAGGCTACTCCCCGTTTCAAGTTGTCTACGGTCTGGTTCCGCGTGGCCCCCTCGACCTTGCTACTACACCTGACCCAACGCGCCATCATGGAGAAGCAGTTGATTTCGTTTCCAGTTTGCAGGAGCTCCATACACAAGCTTATTCGAATCTTCAAGTGTCTTCCGAGAAATACAAAAAGACGGCGGATGCTAAGCGGCGTGAGGTTCTCTTTGCCCCTGGTGATCTTGTTTGGGTTTATCTAACTAAGGAAAGACTACCTCTGCGTCAGTACAATAAGCTTAAGTCCAAAAAGATTGGACCTGTCGAAGTTTTGGAATGCATCAATCCTAATGCATACCGTGTCCGCCTTCCATCTCATTTGCGGACTTCCGACGTCTTTAACGTCAAACACCTCTCGCCTTTTCACGGCGACAATGACAATCCAGATTCGTGGGCGAATCCTCCTCCACCCGGGGGAACCTGATGCAGCGCACAGTCGTTACATCTCTTATTTCCTTTTTACTTATGATAAGTGTTTTAGTTTTACTTAAGGGTTTAGGATATTATTCCTTTTAGGGCTTTGTTTTCATGTCTTATATAAAGACATCTGCATTACTTGTTTACTTACAGCTTGATAATAAAGATTTCAGTTTTATAAAGAGTTCTTAAAACGAACACTGCGAAGAGTATTCGCGCCCCTAAAGAGTTCTAACGAACACTGCGAAGAGTATTCGCGCCCCATTCTATCATTACTTCCTCTACACGTTAGGTTACATCTTCCGCTCTCCATCACTATGTCTACAGACAAAGAGAAAGATCTTATTACTGGAGACGATATTGAGTTTACAGACTTACTTCGAATATAAGATATATATAGTAACATACCTTACTTCGAATACAAGATATATATAATAACATCCCACATCTAAGAACCCTATACTATACAAACTCATGATTTTAACTCCATGATCCGATGTAACATTCATAATAACTTGATGTATCACTCTTAATGTAACCGAGTCAGCATGGCATAGTGATACAACAACATCCATCGCATGCAACATCTAGATTCAAGACACATCAACATTATTTTTAGTTGATGTGTATCACTTTTTTTTCAAAACAAGTCCATGTTTGAAATGAAATCATCACTACAATGTACAATCAGAACGTTTTCAATGGTTCTTCCAACAGAACACAATGTTATGCTTCTTTTTTCTTCAATAGTACTCTGTGTTTGGCTCGAAAGCTCAGAAGTTTATGCACATTTCTCTTCACTCCTCTATTTTTGGCTTCCATATATACAGTATAGTAACGTTCTTTTTTTTTCTTACATTCCTCAGTTTGTTGAGTTGAATATATAATTGGATTTGGTAGACCTAATTTAGAAACTCCAATTATAATCAACCGTTGAAAAGAAAACTTTAGGAACCTAAGAATAACAGCCAACCCCTGACGGTAATGCTCAGATTGACTTAGCTCCTATGAACGACAATTTTAAACCTTATCTACTCTCTTTGCTTGTGCAATTTTTAGGAAACCCTTCAGGAGAAGAATTAACAGTGATTATAATAGTCAACGATGCCTATCATTTGAAAACTTGTCTAATAATAACCAAAAGAGCTACAGCCAAAGAGACAGAGAGAGAGAGATTATCTGCTGAAAAGGGTTGAAAGAAAAGCAACTCTTTCTTTCTTTCTTTCTTCGTACGTCTTCTTTTAAAAGAATAACCTGAAACATATTCATCAAGAAAGAGGACTCTCTTTCTAATGGATTCTCCTGACTAAATCCTCTTTTGGTTGAGAAATCGATTTCTCGACTTCATAACTCACAATGTCGAGCGGGAGGCTTTGCGGCTTCACGCCAATAACGTTCTGTCGCAAGCTCTCAAGATTACAGGTTTTTTCAAGTTTTTGTCTATTAACCTCAATTGTTTCTATTAGTCTTTTATTTTGCTAACTGTAAAATGAAAACTCTAAATACAAACAAAAGGTTTGTAGTGTTTTCTCTCCAGTCACATTTTATTATTTAAAAACAATACCAAATATGGTTTCTAACATTTGAGTTTTTGTTCAATATATCTTTACCCTAATTTCTTAACGATCATGTTTGCTTTTACCTTAACATGTTAAAACGCTACTACTAAGGACAAGATTCTTGATTTGTCAGAATTTTACATGTTTAAAGATTATTAGGGATATCCAAACCATTTAGTTAATATTAATATCCAGAGATAAAATGTTATTAAGTGCATCGATATATAAAAACCATGGAAACATGGTTTTCAGTTAGATGATTTTTGTGTTGCATTTAAAAAATTTCTTAGCAAACAATTTAGACAGAGTTACACTCATTGTACCCAGGCCTGATTGTACCAAAGTATTTTTTCCGTTGAATAAATTTAACATTTATTCAAAAATGTTATTAAGATTAAGATAATTAAAATATAAAGGGTTTCTGATGTTTTTAGGTTGCAAGAGGGCTTGCTCTAAAGAAACTTATCAAGGGCAAACACGATTTTAGACGTGTATCAACATCAAAGAACAATCCCGAAGAAAAGAAGAGTAAAAAGATCAAAAGCACAAAGATCAAAAGCAAAGCTTCACAGACACCTTCCGTCGCAGAAGCCTCTCCAAAGAGCTTCAAATCTCCAAAACAAGCTACTGCTTCAGGCAGCGCGGTGTCTCCTTTGTCGGTAAAGAATAAACCTAACACACCGAGACACAACGATCTCGAAGGTTCTTCACCAAAATGTACAGCAAATTTCATATTAATGGTGGAACTGAGGAAGAACATCTTCTCTTTCAGAGATATGATTGATTTGCCTTCTCTTGATGGTTCTCTATCTGTCACAGAGGTGATCACTTCTCTTGACATAACATCTTATTCAGGGCCAACCCTAAGATTTATGAGCTTGGAAAAAATTATGTGTAAAAGCATGATGATCCATACATATATTGATATATATGTTTTGGATAGTGTGGGACCGGATGATCTTACTACATATTACACTCTTGTTATGTTTTATTCGGTTTGGTTATTACATTCTTCTTATGTCTTTTCTTTGTGGCTGTTTTGTAGATCATAACACATACAATGAAGGATCTACAAAAGCTTTCTCCAGAGATTGTAACCATTAACCAATCTTTTGACATGGAAGGAGCTGAGATGGATAAGGTACACAGAAGGGTTTAAACAGTTTTTGAGTTACATAATAAACATTCCTTGCAAGAAAAGAAAGAAGAAAATAACAATTCTTGAGTTAGGGTTATTTGTTTTACTTGATGAGTCTTGTTGATCTGATTGATGACTCCCAGAAATGCCCCAAAAACAGATGTTGATTTTCTTCTACGAGGATCTCAGAGCCATTGGTGATTCTTGGATCATGGATAGTGACTGGATTTATAGATCAAAGTACAGGAACAGTGGAGTTGGCAAGAACAAGTCAGATCGTCTTGGTTTGTTCACTTATAACCAACAACACTTGTTGAGCTATATTAAGGTCAGGATCTTGATAAACATTCTTTTTTCTTGCAGTGGAGCATGTTTTGGCAGCACTTGATGGGCTCATCAAGATGACAAAAGAAAGGTTTGGTATGATGGATCATGACTCTGATGGAAGAAAGAGTTTCAAAGGTGTTCCATCAGAAGCAAGAAGAAGCTTTAGAAGATCTGTGTCTTATTCAGAAAGTAACAACTCTTTCTTCCCTTCTCCACTAACACCGAGATCGGTGATTCCTGGTACGATGATGTCTAGTAGTAGCTCAACATCTCCGAGTCTTTGGAACTTAAGAGCTCAAGCTTTGGATAAGTTAAGCCCTATTGATTTGAAGCAGCTCGCCATGCGGATATTGTCACGTAGAGATTCAGAGAGTATTACTGATCTTGATCTTAAGAATATTATAGAAGAAGAACAAGAAGAGAGTGAGAAACTAGGAGAGGATGATGAAGATAACAACTCCTCTGTTTTAGAAACAGAGCATGAATTTGAAACAGGGGATCATAGCAAAACTTCTGAAACAGAGCATGTAAGTGATACAGAGCATGAGACTGAAACAGAGCATCATATTGACATTTCTGGAACAGAGCATGTGAGTGAAAGAGAGCATCATAACCAAGGTTCTGAAACAGAGCATGAGGATCATAGTGAAACCACAACTTCAGAGACTGACTCAACAGAATCTTTTCAAGAAGCAATCTCAGTAACTAAACTGGCACCACCTTCTCCACCACCACCACCACCGTCTCCGCCGCCACCGTCTCCCTCACCCTCATTTCTCAATAAGAAAGCTACTCCTCTCTCACAACCACCACCACCACCACCTCCATCATCACCACAGCCTGGAAGAAAAAGTCTTTCTCCTCCACCACCGCCGCCACCTTCAAGAAGACATGACTCTGGAGATAATAGTCCAACCACGCCGGCACCTCCAGCACCACCGGGTAGCGGAAGAACCTTGCGTGGCAAGAGAACAACTAGCAAACTCAAAAGATCAGCACAGATTGCTAACCTCTATTGGGTTCTCAAAGGGAAGCTCGAAGGCCGTGGCGTCGAAGGGAAACCAACAAAAGCATGTAAAGGGCAACATAATGTTCCAGAGAAATCTCCTGTTAAAGGTGGTAGGTCAGGAATGGCTGATGCACTTGCAGAGATGACAAAAAGGTAAAAGACTTGCGCCACAAGTCATCTCTTTATGTCTTGAGTTTTGACTATTTGAGATTGTGTCACAGGTCAAGTTATTTCCAGCAGATCGAAGAAGATGTTCAGAAATACGCAAAAGCAATCGAAGAATTGAAATCTTCAATACAAAAGTTTCAGACAAAAGATATGAAAGAACTTCTTGAATTTCATTGCAAAGTGGAGTCTGTTCTTGAGAAACTAACTGATGAAACACAAGTACGTTGTCTCCATGTCTATTAATCAATTTCTTGAAATATTTGTATACTATATATAACCTTGGTTTGATTCTTTAGGTTCTTGCGAGGTTTGAAGGTTTCCCTGAGAAGAAACTAGAGGCCATAAGAACAGCTGGTGCCGTGTACAAGAAGTTAGATGGGATTCTACTTGAGCTCAAGAACTGGAAGATTGAGCCGCCACTAAACGATCTTCTTGACAAGATAGAACGTTACTTCAACAAATTCAAAGGAGAAATTGAAACAGTGGAAAGAACAAAAGATGAAGAAGCTAAAATGTTTCAGAGACACAACATTAATATCGATTTCGAAGTTCTTGTTCAAGTCAAAGAAACTATGGTTGATGTTTCATCAAACTGCATGGAGTTAGCACTAAAGGTATATATCACTGTTCAAGAAATCGTTAGGCGTAATTAAACGTAGAGTATTAAAACTTAGGCACCACGTAGAATGATCTTCTTTTTTTTTAAATAAAAAAATCGTTTAGAAAAACATTTCGTTTAGGCGCTTGATTTTTTTTTTTTTTTAATATCTAAACCTACTTATAGAACATTGGTTTAATGTACATATAAGTCAAAAAATTTGTTTGTCTGCGATGAAACTGACTAAGATCTATGCTTTGTAGGAGAGGAGAGAAGCCAACGAGGAGGCGAAGGACAGTGAAGAAAGCAAGATGAATCATGTGAAGGAAGAGAGAGCTAAAAGGCTATGGAGGGCTTTTCAGTTTGCTTTCAAGGTTTATACATTTGCAGGAGGTCATGATGAACGAGCAGATCATTTAACAAGACAACTTGCACATGAGATTCAGACAGATCCTGATCAAACCGATTCATCGAACATGTCCTAAAGCCAGGAATGCTGAAATCAAGAAGAAATTGATGCTTGAAAGATGATTGTATATTTGCAACATAACATTTTTGTGGGTGTCTCTAGTTTTTGATTTTGGACCAATTCAAAGAAACAGAGAATGTTTTTCCATTTCCTATATATAATTACATGGACTGTTAATCTCACCGCTAATCCAAGGAAGTAATGGGTTTTTAGGCTCAGAAATTTTTAGTTATCCAAACAAGTAAAATTACATGACATATATGATGCAAAGCAAGTATCATAAGAAAAAGGTCAACGCAGATGCCAAGAGAAGATAGATTTCAAAAGAACCTACTAAAGTCAACGACGATGTTTCAAAAGAAACCATCAAAGTCAACGACACAACATTCTTCAAGAGCATTTTCTTCCATGATAATCTCGTTATTATCTATAAGATCCTCTCTTTCTGTATCTTCTGCGACCATATCAATGTCTTCTTCTTCTAGAGGTACTTGAGAAAAGAAGGCTATTTTCTTCACTTCCCTTTCATCTTCTGTCTCCACAATCGAAGCTGTCAACATATCAACGCGTTGTGATTGGATCTTGGTGTCAAACCAATCAGATAAAGACGAAACACTAGGCCATATATAGTTGATGGTTTTGTAATAGAACAACTTACCTATCTTTCTCTTTCCTAATGAAGTTTCTTCTTCTTGAAAAAGATTTTGCATATATGGGATCGTGTCTTCATTTACTTCCATGAGAGAAGAGCTTGAGAGTTCATATAAGAAACATAAAGATGTTGGGTTTGACATTTCTTTGATGAACAGATCTCTTAACCTTGTACTGACTTATGAATTAAAAATGGCTATAGGATTTCACCAGTCACAAACTATATAGACATTTGTTTTAGTTCAAATACAGTTGATCAAAAGAAAATGATACCCCAGTATCTTTTAGTATTTAATATGCTAGTAATTAATTTGTAATATCTTGGATATACGTTTCTTAGTTTGGAGTAAATGGTTAATAATTCTTTTTCTTACACGGAAAGTCAAACATTATTCTGTAACTTACAAAGTGACCTGTTGAAAGTGGTGTTATTCAATAATGGATTTAAAGTTAATTCTATAGATTTTATTTAATGATTAATTGCAATTTGTATATTAAAATCTAGTGTTATTGGTTAATAAATTTAGAATATCTCAATTAAATAATTTTAAAATCTAGAGTTATTGGTTATTAAGTTTTTAATTTCTTCCCTAAAAGAATTTAAAGCCAATTTTTATTCAATCAAAGATTTGAATACAACAATTAAAATCTATAGTGTTATACATGTTTGATAGATTCGTACAATCATTTGATTTGAAAATCTATTATATTAAAAGAGAAGTCATGACTCACTTCATGTGTGATTTTTTAGTTTGGACCATTTTAGAAATTTTATATAAATTTACAAAACATCATTATAATATCTTCTTATATCTTTAATTTTTATTTGAAATACAAATAAATAATTTTAAGAAAATTCTAAGAAAATCTTTTAAAAATCCTATAAAATCTTTTCAAGATATAATTTCAAAAATTATTTGATTAAAAATTTAATTATTATAGAATATAATTAAAATTTAATTCATTTTTTAACAAAAAATTAAAATTATGTAATATACTTTTAACAATATCCCAAAATTTTGTTTATGTATTATGTAGGTCCAATATAATTTACTTTTTTATATATTTAAAATTTAGAAATAAAACAAAATATATAAATTAGTAATGTTACATAATAATGTTTTAAAAAATTGTTACAAAAATACAAATTTAGAAATTTTAAATTAATAATATTATAAGCTACATAAATATTATTATAAAATTAGATAGTATATACAATCAAATTATATTTATTTATTCATAAATTTTACTCCCTCTGTTACTTAATATATGATGTTTTGGATCATAGCACAAAAATTAAGAAATTTACATTCTTTTACAAAAGTATTTTTAAAGATATAATTTTATAATCATTCGACAAATTATTAAAAAGAGTAAAATTTTATCGGTTGAACAGTTTTCAATAAAGTTAAAGATAACTTTAAAACCTCAAAATATACCTTAAAATCTTAAAACATCTTATATTTTAAAATAAAATAAATCTTATAAAACATCATCTATTTAAAACGGAGTGAGTATTAAATAATTTCAAATATTTTCGTATTAAAATACCCGCACGGTTGTGCGGGTCGAGATCTAGTCTTTATTATAATAGTTCACTTCTAGAACTCCTAGAGATGTCCACGTCAGCAAGTTTGTGGGTCCCACACATTTAAACTTTAAAAGCTTATAATTTGTTTAAAATGACTATGAACAATGAATATACTTTAGTCGAGTGGTATAAGGCACCTAATGAATTCCACAAGTGTGTAGGTTCAAACAATGCAGTTGTTATGTATTTTAGCTTTTTTGTTTGTTTGAATTATTATCATATGGGTTTTTTTAGTTTTAATGTTTTAATGTTTTTTCCCCTCTAGACTTATTGTTTAAAACCCAAAATAGTAAGACAAATCCTAAAGTTTGACAAACTCAAACCCAAAAACAATTACAAAAGGATAAAAAAACGAACAGCCCAAAAAACAAAATGAGTCTCACGTGGTACTATCATGTCCTAATATATATTTTCTGTTAAAAAATATTTTCTAATATATATTTTCAAAAAATTATGTATGTGAAATAAAATAAAACAACAAAATTAAATTATTTTTGTTATTTATAAAATAACTATGTAATTTCTCTTCAATTTTTAATAGTTACTATAATTTTATTTTTATCAGACTCCGGCGAATGGATTTCCACAGTCGATGACGCCGTAAATAAAAATACCACATTATTCATGAACAAAATCAAAACTTACAAAAAAAACATATTTAAACCTATCTATTGAAACCCAAACAACAAATATTAGCTTAAATTAAATTTATTTTCAAATTGATACAATCGTTTAGTAAAAATATAAATACTATAAATAAATAATTATATCAAGTTTTGACCTCCGATATAAAACTATTTCCAACATAAAAAATAAAAAACAAGATAGACACCTATTATTATACACTAGAAACTATATTATAATTTAGTTATTCCTATAAACTTTACTTCGCATATAAATAACATTTAACACATTATATATACAATATTTTCACTTTACACTCTTTCTATATTATTTTCATTTCATCACTAAAAACAAAACGAGTCCCACGCGGCACTATCATGTCCTAATATATATTTCTGTTAGAACATATTTTTTAATATATATTTTCAAAAAAATATGTATGTGAAATAAAATAAAACAACAAAATTTAAGTATTTTTTGTTATTTATAAAATAACTATCTAATTTCTCTTCAATTTTTAATAGTTACTATAATTTCATTTTTATCAGACTCCGGCGAATGGATTTCCACAGTCGATGATGCCATAAATAAAAATGCCATATTATTTATGAACAAAATCCAAATTTACAAAAATAACATATCCAAACTTATCTATCGAAACCCAAACAACAAATATTAGCTTAAATTAAAGTTATTTTCAAATTGATAAATCGTTTAGTACAAATATAAATACTATAAATAAATAATTATATCAAGTTTTGACCTCCGATATAAAACTATTTCCAACATAAAAAAAAAACAAGATAGACACCTATTATTATACACTAGAAACTATATTATAATTTAGTTATTCCTATAAACCTTACTTCGCATATAAATAACATTTAACACATTGTATATACAATATTTTCACTTTACACTCTTGCTACATTATTTCCATTTCATCACTAAAAACAAAAGGAGTCCCACGCGGCACTATCATGTCCTANTCCGATATAAAACTATTTCCAACATAAAAAAAAAAACAAGATAGACACCTATTATTATACACTAGAAACTATATTATAATTTAGTTATTCCTATAAACCTTACTTCGCATATAAATAACATTTAACACATTGTATATACAATATTTTCACTTTACACTCTTGCTACATTATTTCCATTTCATCACTAAAAACAAAAGGACACGCGGCACTATCATGTCCTAATATATATTTCTGTTAGAACATATTTTTTAATATATATTTTCAAAATATTATGTATGTGAAATAAATTAAACAACAAAATTTAAGTATTTTTTGTTATTTATTACTATAATTTCATTTTTATCAGACTCCGGCGAATGGATTTCCATAGTCGATGATGCCGTAAATAAAAATGCCACATTATTTATGAACAAAATCCAAACTTACAAACAAAACGTATCCAAACCTATCTATCGAAACCCAAACAACAAATATTAGCTTAAATTAAAGTTATTTTCAAATTGATAAATCGTTTAGTACAAATATAAATACTATAAATAAATAATTATATCAAGTTTTGACATCCGATATAAAAACTATTTCCAACATAAAAAAATAAAAAACAAGATAGATACCTATTATTATACACTAGAAACTATATTATAATTTCGTTATTCCTATAAAATTTACTTCGCATATAAATAACATTTAACACATTATATATATAATATTTTCACTTTACACTCTTTCCATTTCATCATTATTTGGTATTGTTAGAATAACCTAATAAACCAACCACCAAAAAAAACACAGGCAAACATCAATGATCTCTGGCTCCGCGATTGCGCGGGGGTATGCAACTAGTTGTTAGAATGGATTTGAATTTAGTTTCATGTGTAAATTGTACTAATCAAAAATCTAATCTTTTGCCCCAAGATTTTAGAATCATTATCATTTCTTCTTAATAAGAAAATAAACAAGCACTATTTAAAAGTTTATAGCTATCATCGTTACCAAACCCATCTTTTCTTTAACCACGCAATTATTTTGTTTTATCAAAATTATCCAATTTAACATTTTACAATAAGGTAGATTTGACCCAGAAAAAAAAATTAATCTAAAGACCATACAAGTATATTATAGAACTTTGAAAATAAAATGGCGGATTGTTAATCATTCATTATTGAGTTGGTGTAAAAATCAAATGACATATGTTTAATTTATAAATACAATGATGCAGATTAAGAAATTAGATTCAAATGAATAGTGAATCAATTTGAAATGAACAAAAAAACTAAAATCTAGTAGGTTTTAAATCTAATGGAGTTCACTTCAGTTTATACAACCAATGACTCCTCCCCTAACTTTAACCATTGGATCATCCATCACCAGTTAGTTAATTATTTCAACCTTATAGAAAATCAACAATGTGTGGATTTAAATATTTTAGTATTTAATATGCACGTAACTATTGTAATTTCATGACTATATAACTTTATTAGTTTAGAGTAAATGGTTAATAAGTTTTTGTTCCTTGTCAAAAGTTAACCATAGATACTAAAAGAATCAAAGATGATACCGCAACTTAAAAGGTGACATATGTTCAACTTCAACCATTGGATCATCACCAATTAGCTTATTGTTTCATCAACTCTATAGAAAGTCAATAACGTGTGTATATGATTAATAATTCTTTTTCCTTGTCAAAAGAATCAAAGAGATACATCAATTTACAAAGCGATATGTTTAACTTCAACCATTGAATCATAACCAATTAGTTAACTTTTAACCCTATAGAAAGTCAACGATGGACTTAAATATTTTAATAGTTTAGATATGCAAGTAATTAGTTTCTAAAACCATCGTTAACTCTAGTTTATTAACTGGAGTTCTTAATTTCGGATAAAAGACGATTCTTAATTTTTTTAGATTTTAACTATAAAAAGATAAGAACCATTTTTTAAATAGGGAGAATTGGAAAAATGGGACACTTTGAACTTGTGTTTGTCAGAA